ACTGTTCAAATATCGGAAGAGTCTGTTCCTCGCTCATTATTGCTGACACAAATCTTCCCGGAACAACCGCCATCTCTCTTCGCTGCACTGGCTGACGGAAACGTCGTCACATATACTTACGATCCGTCAACACATGAACTCACCGGAAGGAAAAGCATCGTGCTAGGTACGCGCGAAGCTAGTTTCCGTGCCTTGCCGCGAGGCGATGGCCTATTCAATGTCTTTGCAACATGCGAACACCCATCGTTGATCTACGCATCGGAGGGTCGTCTTGTATACTCTGCTGTTACGGCAGAAAAGGCGACCACTGTCTGTCCTTTCGATTCAGAAGCATACCCTGGCTCTGTAGCCATTGCAACCTCGGAAGATCTCCGTATTGCTATAGTAGACACAGAACGGACGACGCACGTACAGACACTAAAGGTCGACGAGACGGTGCGAAGAATATCTTACTCGCCTAGTCTGAAGGCCTTTGGTCTTGGCACCATCAAAAGGATATTGAAACACGGCGAGGAGATTATGCTAAGTCACTTTAAGCTCGTTGACGAGATTCAATTCAAGGAGCTCGATACATACGCTCTCAACGACGAAGAGCTGGTCGAATGCGTCATGCGATGCGAACTACCGGATGGCTCAGGCGGCGTTGCAGAGCGCTTCGTCGTCGGCACTGCATACCTTGACGACCAGAACGCGACTGCAGAACGTGGCCGCATAATTATCCTAGAAGTGACACCTGAACGCGTACTAAAGCTCGTCACTGAGATCGCCGTCAAGGGTGGCTGTAGATGTTTGGCCATTTGCGAAGGCAAGATTGTCGCAGCACTCATCAAGACCATCGTGGTCTATGACGTTGAGTTCCGAACGCAAAGTTCACCTGATCTGGTCAAGCTAGCCTCGTTCAGGTGCTCAACTGCACCGATCGATGTTACGGTCAATGGTACCATGATCGCCATAGCAGATCTCATGAAGTCGCTCGCCGTTGTAGAGTACACAAAGGGCGAGGCGGGTCTACCAGACAAGCTTGTAGAGGTTGCACGACATTACCAGACTACGTGGGCAACGTCTGTGGCCGAGATAGACACGAACACGTTCCTTGAAAGCGACGCAGAAGGGAACCTGATGGTCCTGTACCGCGACCCGAAAGGTGTCACAGACGATGACAAGAGGCGGTTGAACGTTAGCTCTGAGATGCTACTTGGCGAGATGGTCAACAGAATACGTCGGATTGATGTCCTGACAACTCCGGACGCTGCAGTCGTACCCAGAGCGTTTGTCGGCACTGTAGGTTTACCTAACAATACTTGTCACGCACGGATACTAACCTATATACAGGTCGAAGGCTCGATTTACCTCTTTGGTCTCATCTCTCCCACACATCAAAACCTCCTCATGACACTCCAATCTAACCTTGGCGCCTTGGTAGAAACACCTGGAGATATGATATTTGCCAAATTCCGCGCGTTCAAAAATACCGTCAGGGAGGAGGAGGAACCCATGCGCTTTGTCGACGGAGAGCTAGTAGAGAGATTCCTAGATGTAAGCGAAGACATACAGAGAGAGGCAATTGCAGGTTTGGGTGTAGAGCTCGAGGAGGTCAAGGGAATGATTGAGGGTTTGAGGCGACTGCATTAGAGATAGAGACAGGTACATAGCCAAGCTTGGAATATAAGTTCGGATTACTCGTTGCTGGACCAGGAAAAGGGAGAGAAAATAAACGCTCGATTCTATTACCGCGCAAATATAGACTAACTCATGAATCCCATCATTAATACCCATCTTTGAATCCTGGACGCCTTCGCTCAGTTTTGTACCAGTACTCATTACGCGCTCCACCTCACCATGCCACCTGATCTCTTTGCTTGCTATGTTAACGTACATTCCGAATCTCAACATATTTCATTACCATTACCATCTCCACTACCGATTTGAGACGTCTTTGCTGTCCACATAAGCCACAAAATCGTGCTCTACCATTAGTATCCACTGCGTAAGACTTGAACATCTCAGTCTTATCCACCGATAATGCTCGTGACCTTGGTCTCAGATTCGACATCAGCCTTGATCTTGGTCTTGTTCTTGGGCTCGTTCTGCTGCTCTGCCTTTTGTTTCTTGGTTTCGGTTTTGGGCTTGGGCTCGGCCTGAGTGGCAGACTCCCCCGTCTGCTCCACAGCGCGGTCTCGTACCTTGTTGAACCTACTGTTCTTCTTGCGCTTGTTCTTCTTTGTACTTTTCTTGGGAACGTCGTTGTTGTAGTTGTTGATGTAATTCCTATTGCCATAGTGGTACCATGTGTTCTGTAGAGGTGAAGGTACAAAGTCAGTGCTTGTCTCACGCAGGTTTTGTACAGTTGAAATTTACCTGGCCTGGGACGTAACCATTTCGCACACCTTGAAGCTCTATAAACTGATCTGCAAAAGGTTCATTCGGGTTGATCGTGTAGCTGACATGACCATTCTGCTGAGGGTGCCAAGAAGCAGCACCTTGAGGCTGTGTCGAGTAAGGATGTTGAGTAGCGTGGTATTCGTAGGCTTGTGTGTAGCCGTTGAAGATAGGAAACGGCTGATAGCCGGGGTGCTTTTGTGGACCAAAGTACTGCTGTGGCTGAAACTGGGACTGGGACTGGAAGTCCACAACTGAGAGGGGCGTTGAAGGAGAGGAGAAGCGCTCGCTAGGGGCAGGACTGGGATGCGTGCTTTGGCCAGGAGAAAACGCAGAAGCGGTAGCATTCAAGAGGCCAGGGGTTGGTGAGGTCGGCATTTTGCGATAAATTTTGGGAATGAAGGAGGAAAAGTTGACGGTGGATCGTGGGAAAACGGGAGGAAAAGAGCGCGTCGGATTTTGGGTAAAAGTAGTGGGCGGCAAGCGAACCAGATTGTAAAATACTTTCCTGCCCAGAGATTGCGCACTCACTGCTACTCCCAAGGTCAAAGTGAAAGAGAGTGGTTCTGGATGCGATGGAAATGCACTGTCCCAACTCAAGCGGTGATGGAGCGGGAGCGTGCTGCAACTACCTTGGACGTCATAGACCTTCCAATAAGCTGATGGGGTCCCTCGAATAGATCCGTTGAGGCAAACGAGCGTTCTCGATGACGACGAATGAGGGGTGAGGATAGGAGTGGTACCGTGGTAATCAGGCGGTCAGGCTCCAGTTCAGAGTGCCCGAATTGTGTATTATCATAACAACGCATCTGCGCCTGGTCTACTTCAGCACGCCATCTTCATCGCTACTGTCCCCTCCTGTGTTCTTCACACTGTTGAGTTCGACTCTTTCCTCGTCTTCATCATCGTCGTCCCTGAAGCCCTCGGCGTTCGCATCGCCGTCGCGGTCGAGAAGCGGGGCCTCCCCTGTTGTAGCTACCACACTCTTCTTTTCCGTCTCTTCCCTCATTCCGATAATCACGCTTCCAGCTACTAGCATTGCTGCGCCCAGCCACCACAGTCCCGGTAAGCTTTCGCTGAAGATGATGAAGCTGAGGACGGCGGTGACGATGAAGTTGGCAGACGTATTTATGATGCTGACACGTACGGTGGAGGAAGCAAGGGTAAGGGCACGTGTGAAGAGACCCCACATGATGGCATTGAAGAGGAGGTTCATGCCGAAAAAGAGCTGCGCGCCGTGTTAGTAATCTGCGAGTACGGATGGGCATGGGCAGAGGAAGGACGTACACCTCGTATCGCATATTCAACAATCTTGTTAGAAGCACTCAGCCCGAATGCGAGGGCTATGGAGCTTGACCAGGAGGCTGTGAGCTCTGTTGTAGTGCTACCTCATTGTCAGCATGCACCATGGGCTGGATCAACGCGACGGTCTCTTACAGCTTCGCGAAGACACCATTGCAAGCTGCACATGCGCCACTGGTGATGGCAAGCATCAGCCAGGTTGATTTAGTTTGCGGAAGAGACATGGTCGCAGCCGTCTTGGGTGCTGCGGGGAAAGAGGTCGATGTTGATTGACAGACGTTGGTTAATGATCTGCAAGGTACCGGATGCGCTTCCGCGCTTAGTCAATGTATGGGGTAGTCGATGCAGGTTGCATGTCGACGCAATGCTTGAGGCAGCTTTTTCTTATGCCTATGTGGGCTTATCTCAAACCACTCGTCCTATGCTCTCATTCACATTCTGTTACCAGTCAAGCCTGAATTGGTCACGTATTCACGGCAAGCAAGTGGTAGTTGTTGAGATGCAGGTCATAATGATTTCAATTTATCGGCATACAGCCAGCGCAAATGCGCATCCGATCCCAAACTCCCATTTATGCCATAGGTATCGTGAAAGCCTTGGTTGATCCCTAACGCCAGAAAGATGATATAGTACAGCTCTAGGCCTCGCCAGGACGCTTCGCATTGCAACTAACAATCTTGACACGGTCGGCGTGGACTTGGTGCGTGTTGTCCAGCTTGAAGTTGATGTCCTTGATGATGAAGGTCCATACGTCGTCGCAGAAGCGGTAGGTGTCGAGATGTCCCTGCAGAGGCGCACGTCAGTATGGCATGCTTCCCACTGGTCGCATCTGCGCAACTGACCTTGAATGTCAAGCGCGACTTGACCTTCTCCGAGAGCACATCGGCGACGGCCTTGTCGAAGTTCAAGAGGATCTTCATGGCGAGCTGGGGCTCTATGCGGCGCTCGGTAATGAGGTTGTCGAGCGTGTCTGTGAGGGAGCCGCCCAGACTGTCCTCTGTTAGCCAGCGCCCACGGGAAAGCCCTTCCAGAAGTGGATGCAGTACCTGCTTCGGCGGTAGAGCTCATAGTACTTGGTGTTGTCGGTGGCCATGGTGCTTGTGTTTGCGACGAGCTGGTGGTCTGGCGTAGGTGACGCCTGGGCGGGAAGAGTGACGGGGGCCGCGGAGGCGGTTACTAAGCTGTCCGGCACTAGCGCGACGCGGCTTGTTCCGCCTGCCCAGGTGCATCATCGCCAGCTTCGCAGCGAGTCCATCACGACGAAGCTCCAGCCGCCACTTTTCCCATCCATCTCCTACTCGCCGACCAACACACCCAACATGTCTCTTACCTATGGAACGGGCGGTGCGACTGCCGCCCTTGGTGTGGTGGGCTTGTGTATGTACAGCGCGCAGGGGCGCAGGCAATAGCTAACGAAGGCCAGACATGCTCTTCAACAACGAAGGAGAGGCCTTCAACGTACGCACGCGTTTGCACCTCGACAGCACGGACAGGACTGATTGTACCCCAGGTCGGAGCTTTCCTCGAAAGCGTTTCGCCATACACATTTGCTAGTGTCGGAATTGCGCTATGCATTGGTCTCTCTGTCGTAGGCTCGGCATGGTAAGTCTCGCGCTTGGATTTCTGCACGCATGCCATCTGACTGTCGCAAAGGGGAATCTGGACAACCGGTGTGTCCATCGTGGGTGGAGGTGTCAAGGCGCCGCGGATACGAACCAAGAACTTGATCTCCATCATCTTCTGCGAAGTCGTCGCCATTTACGGTGTCATCATGGCCATCATCTTCTCCTCCAAGATGAACCAGCTCTCCGACCCTGAGCTGCTCTACTCCGGCTCCAACTACTTCACTGGATACGCGTTGTTCTGGGCCGGAATCACTGTGGGCATGTGCAACCTCATCTGCGGTGTATGCGTAGGCATCAACGGAAGTAGCGCTGCGCTGGCTGATGCTGCCGACCCTGCAATGTATGTGCCTGACATCTCTGGGTTTATCTTTCGCTGCTAACTCCATCCCAGGTTCGTCAAGATTCTTACCATTGAGATTTTCGCTGCCATTCTCGGACTGTTTGGTCTGATCATTGGGCTGCTCATGCAGAGCAATGCCAAGGACTTCCAGTGAGCGTACAAGAGTCTCACGAATCCGCCTGCGGGCACAATTATACGGGCTACATGGAACCTTGGTCCCACTCAGAACGACGCCAAGGAGGAAGGCGTTCAAGTTCCAGCTTGTGGAGCTGGTCGAGAGGTTACTGGACGTCATTTGTAGAGGTTGTACCATGTACATAGGGAGGCGCTTGTATAATGCATGTAATATGAGCGAGTATCGGCGTTAAATATCATTCATCGATTTCCAGATCAAATATGCTTGTGTAATTCCCTTGCGCGGAGTTGAGAATCAATGTAATCTATGGTCCGTGCGCAACGTCACCAGAGTGGCATGTCCGCACTACTCCGCCTGGACTTAACCTGACATCTATCAAGATGGCCACCACAAATCCAAAGCTCAAAGCAGCAGTCTTGGTAGTATCTGAGACTGCTTCCCAAGACCCATCGACCGACAAGTGCATACCAGTGCTGAAGAAAGTCTTCGGCGATCTCGGAAACGACCAATGGCATGTTAGCGAAACTGAGATCGTGCCCGACAATGCACTCGCGATTCAGAAGACAATTAGAACTTGGAGTGATGGCCCTGATCCAATCAATCTGATTGTCACTAGTGGAGGCACTGGTTTTGCAACCAAAGATGTCACCCCAGAGGTGCGCGCTTCATTCCGTATATTGGTGGAGAGTAGGCAGCTGATAGTAACAAGGCAGTTACACCATTGATTGACAGACATGCCCCCGGTCTTATGTATGCCATCTCTCCCGAAAGTCCACTGGAATGCTAACAGACGCAGACATGGCATGCTTACAACTTCATATGCCGTCACACCTTGTGAGTCAGGGAAACCCGAACCAAAGACACAGACTAAGGTTTATTAGTCGCACTTATGGCGAGACCTGTTGCGGGTCTCCGAAAGAAGACTTTGATCTTGACTCTCCCTGGGTCGCCCAAAGGTGCCAAAGAGAATCTGGAGGCGGTTCTCAAATTACTACCACATGCGTGCATTCAGGCAGCTGGGGCAGAATCAAGACCTCTGCACGCGGGTGGTGTAGAGAAGCTTGAAAAGGACGCTGGGGTCTCTTCCGCTGGCACGACCACAGGTATGTGGCACGTCGTCTTTCCTGGCAATACCATAGATAACAAGAACAGGAACCGGATGTGGGCATCACCATCATGGTCATGGTCATGGCGGACACGCAGGACCTAGAGCTCATACAAACCCTGAAGAGCGTCCCCAGTCCAATGACCCTTCCGCAGGACCAACACGCAGATACCGGTCATCTCCTTATCCTATGCTTGCTGTTGACGATGCGCTTAAGCTCATCGCAGAGCAAACTCCAGCTCCTGTAGTAGAGCGCGTACCAGTAGACATGAGACTGAGTGGTTCCGTCCTTGCCGAAGATGTCAAAGCCACCGAGTCCGTCCCAGCATTCCGTGCTAGCATCGTCGACGGTTACGCCGTAAAGATCCCTTCTACAGGCAAGTTTGAAAAAGGAGTCTACCCCGTTACAATCGTATCTCACGCTCAGGCTGGCGAGGTTAAAGAGCTGAGAGAGGGAGAGATTGCCAGAATTACAACCGGCGCCCCTCTCCCTCCTGGTGCTGATTCAGTAGTCATGGTCGAAGATACAGTGCTGAAGAGTCTTACAGACGACGGCAAAGAAGAAAAAGAAATCGAGATACTGACTGACGAAATTAAACCAAACGAAAATGTACGCGAAGTAGGGAGTGACGTCAAAGAGGGCGAGACCATCTTGAAGAAAGGTGAAGGCGTCACAGTCGTCGGCGGCGAGTTCGGTCTCCTTGCGTCCGTGGGCACGAAAGAGGTGTCTGTCTATAAGAAACCAGTCGTTGGAGTCCTGAGCACAGGAGACGAGATCATCCCGCACAACAGAGAAGGCTCACTGCGGCTCGGAGAAGTGCGCGATACCAACCGTCCTACACTCATCACCGCTGCACGAAGCCACAGGTTTGAAGTCATCGATCTGGGGATTGTCTCAGACAAGTAAGCTACATTGCGTGACCCAAGTGTCTGAATCAGCCATCACTGACCCTCTGTAGACCTGGTAGTCTCGAGCAGACACTTCGCGACGCCATGCGCAAGTGCGATGTTATCATAACCTCTGGCGGCGTCTCAATGGGCGAGCTCGATCTCCTCAAGCCAACAATCGAGCGCTCTCTCGGCGGCACGATCCACTTTGGTCGCGTAAACATGAAGCCCGGCAAACCCACCACCTTCGCCACGGTGCCAGTAAAGGACAACTCTGGAAACCCTGTAACCAAGTCTGTCTTCTCGCTTCCCGGAAATCCTGCTTCGGCTGTGGTGTGCTTCCATCTCTTTGTTCTGCCTGCATTGCACCAGCAGGCTGGTATTAAGCCACTCGGTCTACCGAGAATCAAGGTCATACTGGATGAGGATGTAAAGATGGACAAGGGTCGGCCAGAGTATCACCGTGCACTAGTTGTGACTAAGGAAGACGGACTGCTATATGCTAGCTCGACAGGGGGACAGAGGAGTAGTCGGATTGGCAGCTTCAGGGGTGCAAATGCGCTACTTGCGATGCCGCAGGGTGAGGGTAGCCTGAAGAAAGGTGAGAAAGTCGAGGCACTGCTCATGGGAAAGTTGGGAGAGGTTGAGCGTTGATGTACACATTTGCTACATTAAAATACATATATCTATCGCACCCCGAGGTGTCTAACAACTACTTTCTAAGTGTTATTCCTTTTTAACATCATCGTGACATAACCGAACCTCTAAACCAACCGAAAGGAAAAGAATGCACCGAAGGGTATTCGCAACTGCCGAAAGACATAACCAAGTGGGCTAATACCCAAGAACAGTCAACACCAGACCAAAGCACCACTACCTTCCCCAATCATCACCAAGACTGGAACCATGAAACACCGACGCTAAAGTGAAAGAGTTAAACAAAAGAAACGTTGGTCGTGTGTGACCCTTACTCTGAAGCACTAGACTTCAGTTTTAGCTCGTCCAGGAGCACACTGCCTCTGCAAGACCCTGCGCTCGAAGCCAACGCCTTTCGATACGCGTTGGTCTGCGAGAACTGCTCCTCGTAGTGTTCCTTTAGCTTGCGCTGCCTCTTCTCCCTCTTGTACATCCAGTAGACAGTAGCAGACAGGCCCGCTATCAGCATGCTGAATACACCTGCGATGGTACCGCCGACTATTGCAGTCTCTCGCTTCTCTTTGGCGCACGCATGGGCGGTTGGTGTGGTAGTGGCTTCGAAGGGGGTTCCGGTAGAGACTGCGGTTGCGACGACTTCTGCAACAGGATTGGTTGCAGTTGGAGTTTGTAACTGGAGGGTAGCGCTGAACGTAGTTGTGACTTTCGGTGCCTTTGCGTTGTCGCAGCAGCTTTTTGTATCGTCGGCGCCGCGGCAACAGTATTCCCCCGAGTCGCACGTTTGGAGTCGCCAAGCTTTTACCGGCTTGAGACCGTTGGAGTAGTCGGAAACTGTAGTGGATTAGTTGATGAACCAAAGATGACTGACATTCGTGAACATACCACCAGGGCATATTTGTTGGCATGAAGCATCCTTTCCCTTGGAGTCTGTACATCCTCTTGAGAAGATCATGCCAATCGACTCATTCGTTGTTCCCATACACAATCCATTACTCATGCAAACATCGGTGGACGCGCAACAACTGCTGTGCTTCGCGCTAGGGTTGCATGGCGTGTATGTACTGTCGAGGGCCGTACCGTCGACCGCGTAACATTTTTGGCTGGCAGCGACCGCAATGAAGGTCGCGAAGACCGTCAAGAGGGACCGGCTCGACACCATATTAGACAAAAGACAGTATAGAAGAAGTAAAGGAGTGACTGTTTGCAAAAGCAAGGGATCGGAAATATTTGACAATGAGCGTTGGTGCAGACTGCGAGTATGGAGAACTAAGGGTGTTTTAGACCATTAATGAATCCCGTATGAGAGCCGACAGGACATGCAGGTCCATATTTAGTTTCGAGCCCTACATTCGCAATGTTATGCGGCGAAGCCCTGTGCAACTCTCTTCAGCTGGCAAAGCTGGTGGTTGCAGGGTAGACCCCGCCGCCATTTGAAACAGGACAATCAAACCCGGTCTTCCAAAGACCCAGGGACCAGTATGCGGTAGGCTGGGGTGACGCAGCTAACGAGCAGTTCGACGCAAGTGTACAGCCTCGACTTCAGAAGCAGTGGTACAAAGACGACAAAGTCTAATTCAACAAGGCGCGACGGCACTTCCTCCTTCACTTGCTCAAAGAGATGCGCGCTTTCAGACCCACGTACACACGATCGTGGCGCTCGCTGATGCGCGCCGCCACTTTTGCTTTGTTTTGCGCTGACGGGTCGTTTGGTCGTGCTTTTGCTCGAGTTTAGCCGCATAAGGTAGGTAGAGAAAGACGACGAGAGCTTCACAGCAAATGATGTATTGGGGGCGATGATGCGCCAAAGGATGGCAGAAGGTTTGAGATGCAGGGCGTAGTAGGCCACATCTAGCATCTGATTGGTCAAGCGTCGGCCTAGTACAACATCACAGACCCCTTTTCGGCTCGTACCTGCATCTCCACCATCGAACTCTCTTCCCGCACGATGCGACTTATCACCGTTGACAACGGCGCCGCGACCGACCCGTCCTGTCACTTTGCCTGGAGATGTTGGCAGAAGTCAATCGTGAGTCGTTCACTCGGTCAATAGGTCGGATGTCATCAATTGGCCGAAGCAGGGACGGCTCATCGTACATCTCTATCAACCCCTCGATCGGGATCACTCAGCGCAGCGGCTTACTCCACCGTTACCTCTTCTGACTGTGAGATGATCGCCTACAAGATCTCAATTCGCCTGTACCCGGTACGTGCAGATCTGGGCACCCTTGGTTGCGGCACCAGCCACACATTTTACCTGTTGCTGCTGCCGGCAGGGACTCCGGGTGACAACGAACTGCGCGTGTTAATTTGCACACGGCCTTCAGGAGCCTCATCTCTCGAGTTCTCGTTGCCCATTGCCCAGTGCACATTGCCCATCAGCCATTGCCCAATCCATCGCTCACGTCATCTTACGACCAACTCTCTGGACCCTATTGAGGTTTAGTCTGCTCTTGAGGATCACTTTCAGGCATTGCGACTTTAGTAGCAACGACTATTCCTGCACGGCCGACGGATCAATGATGAATTGTGGACTCACGGAGGATTCGGAAGCCACAATGACGATCTGTGGATATGGACCGACCCGACCATGTCTTCGCCCACGGTCCACGTCACGATCGTGGGGCGGAACGAAGAAGAGTCAGCACCTTTAGCTCGGGCTGGGGGCTACACGTCGTAAAACCGCTTGATCTTACGAGCTCACTAGCACGGCGACCGGACGCGGACACCAGAGGTCCATCCGCGATCCAACGTGAATATTGTAAGGCGTGGTGCATTTCTCTCGAACTTTACAGCCCTCACGGTCCGTCTTCAGGCAGCGTTGTGACCCAAGTGACCTAGCTATCAAGCCGAGATATGACCTGTCCACCTCAGCCATCCAGCTCTCTGAGTAACCCCTCTACCCTCCTAATCTGATTGTCCGGTCCACCATCGACAACCACCCATTCCAATAAACTCTCCTTAGCCATCTTGGCCCAACGTCTTGCGTCTTTCACCATGCCATGGCCTGCGTAGACGTACGCCAGTCTCTCGTAGTCCTGGGCTAGCATAGTCTCCAAACCCTCTCTTTGACCGATCTCCATCACTTCTTTCTCCCACGCTACGATCTGTTGGGCGTCGTAGGTTTCCGCTGTCAGGTTCTCCAACATCTTTCTTAGTTGAGCGAACCTAGCGCGGCGCTGGTCACTGCCAGTCCTCTCGTACTCCGAAGCAGTGCAGAGGGGGCATGTGCATCCAAAGTTCCAGCCTTCCTGGTACAGTATCTGTCTATCCGCGTGCTTCAAGTCAATGCGGCCGTACGAGATGCCTATCTCTTCTCCAGCTGCGATGTCCCGTTGAGCCTTAATTTCCATCGACATCGTCTTCGGAACAAAGCGCGCATGTGCGTTGGGTCGGCAAGCATGGTTGATCCGGGCGACAGATGGGAAGAGACACATGTAAGCGTCGTCTGCATCACCATCGGCCAGTTGGCACGCAAAGGCGTTTGTCTTCATGATATCCTCAACCTTGCTACCCCCCAAACTCTGGTCTAACCCGAGCACCAAAGCTCGGTCTGCCTGGGGCAATTGATCGATAGCGGCACTGAAGAGAGCTTTGCCTTGCGAACGTGTGACCTGCGTCGGAAAGTGCGAGCTTGCGATGATGTGTGCGGAATCAAGGAGTATCCTTTCTCCTTTCTTGACAGCCTTTGTAGTGACAAGGCCTTTGCCCTTGCCTGGGAATGAGCGAACTTCGAGGCCGCTATTATTGCTCTGATCATCCTTCCCTAATGCTAGAAAGGCTGCAGCTATTGCGTCTGCAGCCACAGATGTCGCGATAATGCTCAGAGCATGACCACCGCGCAACTCGGACGTCGTGTAAGTACAATATTTCTGGCCCTTTCTTTGGGCACAAGTGGGTTTGTGCGACCATAGTGGGTGCTGGAATGACTGCACATCCTGCGACAGTCGCAATTCGTCTTTAGTGTCTACACACTGCTGTGACTGAAGCGGTAGTTGGGCATCGAAGTGTTGGGGCGGATTCGCGCACTGTGGTGAGGCAGAAACGCGCGATGCGAATGCGCATATGGCGAGTGAGATAACGAAAGTTTGTATATAACTCATAGTGTCAACTGGACGTTCGCAGATTGCATCACGGAGAGCAGGCGAGGTGTCTGCTTTTCTCCTGGCTCCTGTAACACTTCTGAAACCGACACTGCCGGACAGCTGCGTCTTCGTACAGCATGTTCTGCGTTACCTCAACGCTTGAACACTCCGACTTGACAATGAACTACTTCATCAACTAGCCTGGAATTCAATGTCTGAATACTGCTTGCGCTAAACAGGAGCAGGTCCAACCGGACCCATGACTCGATAACAACCGACAACCCGGATAGTGGTACGCCTCGAGACTCGACAGAGCCACACTGAGCCCTGTGCCACTCGAAACATGTCCACACCACCACATCGTTTTTCATGATCGCCAGGGCTGGTAGAACAGTGCACGCTATGCGGCTGATGCCGACGAGCTCCAGCCTGCTAATTTGTCTCATCTCCACACTGGCGTATCCTCGTCATACTTTGACGTGGTAGCACACGGCTGTCAGGCTGTTTCAGTTGCCGTTCACCGTGCAACCGCTGCTGCCAGTTGGAAAATCCTCCACCCTGGGAGATTAGGCTACATCATAGTTAAGGGTACAAGTACCCGTTGAGGCAGTGACAGGTGACACCCCGAATTCGACGAGGGATGGGTCTGGTTACTTAAAGGGGTATACTGGCCTGCTCGACATGGTATCGTGACGTTCTGGGATGGACCTTCATCGTGGGGAACACGTATAGGGACTCGCGCATCTCGGCAAGGGAAGAGAAAGTTTGGTAGCCTTCAACATGTTGGGCTCTGTCTACCGTTGGTGCTTATTTAGAACGAAGCCAATTCAGCATAAGCGGTAACTGATCTGGTCGACCGCAGCATAAGCGTGCGTGAAGCAACAAGAAACAAGTGACACGCAGCGCCATTGAAGCAGTGTTCTCTATGGAAATGTTTCTCCACTATCATTTTTCCCACCGCTAAGAAGTCGCGTTTTGCACCTCGGTATGCTTGACTCAAAGATTAACATCCTCGGTCTTGTGATGCGTCATGGGACTTTCATTGAACAGCCTGCCCATGTAGCACATCTGCACAAGCGTCTACTGGATTGCTCCTCGCCCGAGCAAGTCTCGTTACGAGGCTAGCATACGTTCGCATCAACTTTTTTCTTTTCGCCGATCAAGTCGCTGCGCCCTATCCCGTTGCTTCTTCCCTCTAGAACACAATATTTAGCCAAGGTCAGGCACGAGTTGACTTGCGTAGACATCAATGATCCGGAAGCCGAGGATAACAAAAGGAATTATGAGCGGCATAGGAGCCTTTGAGTTCTACGAATAGAAGTCATACGTGGGGGTGACTCTAAAACTGGTCAGCCACGGTTTCGATGATGAGGGACCGACAAGTTTACGTTGTTGTAAAGAAGAATGTGTGAATCTCAGTACCCCTTTTCCAATATCAGGAGCAATCGGCTCTTGAAGTAAAAGGCACCTGGAGCGAACCGAATGCGTGCAAGCAGTCCGTGGTTGCTACGGAACTAGGTTCAAAGTTAAGACAGTCCAGACAGCTCGTAAAAAGTCACAACCTTGTTAAAAGACGAGAACGTGCTTGCGACACACCACGTACATGCGACAAAAGTCAATACGTTGGCTGCGGAGTGAATAGTGCTTGTTTCTGGCTAGAGTATTTTATATGACATGGTGAAGGGAGAAGATGTTGCCAAGAACATACTGTTTGTTTGACCACTCGACAAAAGAAATCAGCCCATCAACCAGGGGCTCTCTTCCAGCCAAGATGCCTCTGACATCGTTTTGAGAACCCCTCACAAAGGAAAAACGCCATATATGCAAAACGGACAAGTTGAGACAAGTTGTCAAGGTATCGATCGAAGTCGAGTAAAACACAAAGATCAGACTGTCGAAACCTCAAAAATTGGGCGAGGCCGAAGCAAGGGAGATCGCACTGAATCAACCCAAATGTACACAAAGTAACGAAATAGTTCCGGAGTAGCATGGTAGCCTGCGAAGATAGCCAGGTGTGTTGTTGTCACCTCTCATGTAACGCCGTTGAAAATGCAAATCTTTCATCCTATTCCACCCATCCTTGACCTGGTGATATACCCTAAAGGCACTCGCACGGGAAGTAACCTTGGTTTCGTGAATCATAGGTCGTCGTCGTCCAGATTGATCGCATCGGGATTCGCGGCAGCCTCTTCGTCCTGCTTGATATTACCGCCTTGAGGACCTGTACTAGCGGCGACGAAGCCAGCTGGCGCGCGAGCTTGACGTTCGAGAGCGGCCATGGCATCCTCGCCAGCAGCATCGGCGTCGTCGGCGTCTTCGTCGGCAGGCGCACCATTCTGCTGGCCGCGGGCGACAGCCTGGGAGGCGATAAAGTTGACGTCGGTGTTGTACTGAGCCTGAACACTGCGCTTGATGCGCAGCATCTCCTTGTATGTGTCCTCGTTTCCATGCTGGACTTCGAACGCCTCCCACTTCTTCCAGAACTCGGGGCTTGTTCTCGGGTCGCAGAACTGACTGGCATGGCCATAGATTGCTCTGGCTCGGTCGATCTCTCCCAGTCGCCGTTCCATCTCGGCAAACTTGAGGCACATCTCTTTTGCCTCACCGTCGGGGAGGGCAGCGATGGCGCGCTCGTAGATCGGTCGCGTGGAGGTGAGACCGAAGTTGGATGCCGACTTGGTGATGTAGAAGTTGAACATCTCCAGTCTGTCTTCGTCTGCAACGGCGCGTGTAGCACGCTCGTAGATACGCATAGCATGTCTGGCTAGGCCGCGATCCTCTTCAAGCGCACCGTACATTAGGTACAGTACCTTGGCAAACTTTGGCGGGCAATCCTCGACAGCCTGTTCGAAAAGGTCTCGCAACCGCTCCATTCCAATCTTGCGGTCCACAGCCTTGGTCAGGTAGAGATTCCAAATCTCGAAAGCGACAGGGTAGCTGAACAGGTCGAGGCCGCGCTCGTACACCTTGAAGCAGTCTTCGTAGTACTTGTTCTCTTCCAGGAGGTTTGCGTAGTTGACAATGGTCTGCGGCGTCGCGATGCGGAGCTCGAAGATTCTTTCGTAGACCTTCTTTGTCTCCTCCAGCGTACTGACACTCTCGACAAGATCGACGTAGAAACTCCACAGCTTCCAGCTCTTGTGTACACGCTGTTGTGGCGACAGCGACTCATCGAAGTAGTCGACGTTTGACCGCTTAGGCGCTTGCGTGGCCTTGGCCATGATGTCTACGGCCTTGTCGAAGTTTTCATTGCGAAGCTCCATCTCTGCCCATTCGCACCACATCTCGGCCAGCTCGGAGACCGATTTGAACGGCACCTTAACGGCCTTCTCCATGATGACACGAGCGTTCTTGAGATCGCCGCCTGATTCGTAGAGCTTTGCGTAGTTGGTCCAGAGCTCGTGAAACTTACCAAGGGCCTTCTTCGGATTGATCGCGGCGATGGCATCGGTATAGGTTTGTACCACCTCTTTCTTGTTGTCGCCCCAAAGCGCGACACGCTTCTCCCACTCGATGACATTGTGCGGGTTCTGTCTTAGCATGACATCGTTCAGCAGGAACGGCCTCCTCTGCATGAGTGATTCGAAGCGGACCATCCGGATGTCAAGGTCCGCGTCAGCAGCCTCATCGATCTTGCCTTTCTCCGATCGAGCAGCAGCCTCGTTGAGCTTGATTCCGATCATGGCCTCCTCGGCTTCCACGTATGTGTCGAAGACGATGGAGAAGTCGCGCACAGTCATGACAGTGGTCACGCCCTCCTCGAAGACGTCGCGCGCTTTCTCGTACTCGCCCTTGTGCATCCAGTACCGTGCGAGGCCAACCCAGAGAATACCGCGCTGGTCGGGGAACTTGGAGATACCACTCTGGATGATCTTCTCGACGTTAATGCCACTGTCGTCGCTCGTGTCGATTTCCTTGGCGTGGTCAATCATCAGGTCGATCATCTCTGTCCAAAACTGAAAGGGTCCCTTTGCCTCCTTGCTCTTAAAGCGTGGGTTGTTGAGAATTTCCATGTACTGCTTCACAGCCTCGGTGTACTTGCGCATGTCCTTGAGTAGCTCGATGAAGTCCTCGGCGTCTTCGGGGTGAATCTGCATGTAGCGACGCCAGATCTTGACGGCCGTCTCGCCCGACGCAGACGTTGCAAACGGCCGGTACAGGGCCCATATGCGGTTGTGTTGGGTCAGGGGAAGGGCGCGCAGTGCTCGGTCGAAGGTGCGGCGGGTGGTGGTAACGAGGGGCTGCTGCATGAGGAAGTTGAGGTACATCTCCCAGATGCGCGGCATCTTGTTGAGCAGCACGAGGGCGCGTTCGAAGAGAGCGTTGACCTTGACATAGTGGGCGGCGAACTTGGCAGGATTCTTCTTGGAGAGGTGCTTGGTGCGGAGCTCGAGGTACAGCTTCCACAACTTGTAGGAACGCGGCAGGGTGGTGACGGCGCGCTCGAGCACAAAGGCCTGCTCCAAGATGCTCCCACGCGACTTCTTGAAACTGTAGTAGTCCAGCCAGGGCTTCACGCTGCCCGCGTTGCGCTGGATGTCCTGCTCGTACGCGACGTCCTGGTCGGTGATGAGGAAAAGGTCCGACGACGGCTCCATCTTCCGCTTGGTGGGCCGCGAGAGGCTCGCGGTGACGGTCCTGAGGAGTTCACCGGGCATGATTGCGCCAGAGCCAGGGCGTGTGTTGGCCCGCGGTGGGCAGGAAGGCGATGGGATGCGGTGCTGGACGGCTGATGGAGCGTGTCGCAGCGTTAAAGTTCTGAGGGAAAGAGTGATGGAGTCCGAGCGGTCAGCGGTAGCCTGCAGCCAATAAGCAACGTGCATCCCGAAGACCCGCTTTGCATAGTTGGCAGGCGCGCGAGCACGGACTCGTCTCACATAGCTCCCCGGCATAGCTGCGTCACGTTCCGTTGGATTCACTTGGTCGGACTGCGCACGCTGACTGGCTCCGAGACACCTACCAGACTATCGCCGGAGCATTGTCAGCCTCTATATTCGGTTTTAGCCCCATAGCCTTCTCCACCAACTGTTCGAGCCGCAAACATGTCTGGCAGCGGGGTACGGCCAGCGATAGCTATCCAATGCAGCACCGTCGATGATGCTAACTCGATCCCCAGGCACGAGAGGCCGTCTTCGCGACGCGGCAGTCGCTGGGTCTGATGAAGAGCAAGCTCAAGGGCGCTCAGACCGGCCACGACTTGCTGAAGCGAAAGAGTGAAGCCCTCACCAAGTATGCACTCACTGTCTGCTCTAATCTCCCCAAGCTTCGCTGACAGTATGCAGGCGTTTCCGAGGTACGACTACGCCGTAGACTCCCCCACCATGTGCCCGTGTAACTGAAGCCGTTTCCAGAAATAACGCGCCGTATCGATGAGGCGAAGCGCAAGATGGGCCGTGTCATGCAGGTTGCTGCTTTCTCCCTCGCCGAAGTCACCTACGCCGTCGGCGGCGACATTGGCTACCAGATCCAGGAGTCCGCAAAGCAAGCCCGCTTCCGTGTGCGGACAAAACAAGAGAACGTCTCTGGTGTCTTCCTCCCTCAGTTCGAAAGCTTTACCGTCGAGCAGAACAACGACTTTGCCCTGACAGGTCTGGGCAAGGGTGGTCAGCAAGTACAAAGATGCAGAGAGACGTATGCAAGGGCAGTGGAGACGCTGGTGGAACTGGCTAGTCTGCAGACTGCCTTTGTTATATTGGACGAGGTCATCAAAGTGGTCAACCGCCGTGTAAACGCCATGTGGGTATCATCTCCTTCCAGACAACTGCCAAAACTAACAGCCAACAGCGAGCACGTCATTATCCCCCGCACCGAGAACACTATCAAGTACATCAACTCTGAGCTCGACGAGCTAGACCGAGAAGAGTTTTACCGCCTGAAGAAAGTGTCCAACAAGAAGCAGAAAGACGCTGCCGAGGAAGAAGCGGCAAGAGTAGCGGCAAAGAAGAAGAACGAGGAGGACGAGAAGGATGAGAGTGATGCGAGACAAGATGCTGCCGAGAGCAAGGACATGCTCGGCGACGAGGACAACGAGGACGTCATCTTCTGAGTTGTCGACGGACGCCTAGTAGGGCCTCTTCTTGTATCTCCTCGCAAGGACAAACTCGTCATGTCCTTGCTTGAACTCTCGGGCTTCCCAGAATGCCGACACAGCCTCCCAAGACCACATTCCGTATCCATCCCAATTCTGAGCGTCGTCTGCGAAGCTAAATAAGAGATGAGCATTGTACCATGTAGATGTGAAGATGGGCCTTCAGATAATAAGACTCTATTATGCCAGCCTGTATCTGAGAATGCCGAACGAGGTATCATAAACGCATAAATCCATAGCAATAAATCCATGTACAGTAACCTACTGTTGCCGCTGGTATGTGACCTTCATGGGCTTGCCCTCTGCGCCGATCGGCGTGTTGGCCGTCGCTTCTTTCGCTGTAATCGCAAACTGCTCGTTTTCGAATTCCGCAAAGGCCACGGCCCTGACCGAGACCAAGCGCACTTCCTTGAAGCCTTCGAAGCGCTCGAATATCGTCGTGAGGTCTTCCTCGTCGACATCGCGGGGAATGTTCTGTAGGAAGAGCGTCTTGTTGGGTCGGACATATTCGTCGGGCACGGCAGCCGCTCCAGTTTTGGCAGCGCGAGGCTTCTCTGCAGCGACTGGGTTGGCTTGCGCCTTCGCATCTTCTTCGGCGCGCTTGAAGTCTGTACCGGTTAGTGTTTGAAACGCCAGGGAGCAGAAGACGCGTACCCTTGAGTGTCAGACGCTTGCGCTTGTGGTCGTCGAACAATTCTGGCGCCTTTCGCTTGACCGTCTCGTCGCTATGTGTCTTCGCCCTGTGCACCTTCATGACCTTGCCGTACATCTCGAACCCGTTCATCTCCTCTACCGCCTCCAGCGCGGCCTTTTCGCTGTCGAAGACAATGAAAGCCTGGCCCTTGCGCTTCAGACTGCTCTTCGCGATAACATCGAGAATCGGACCGTAGTATTGGAAGACTCGAGTCAAGGCTTGCTTCATGGTATCGATCTTAACGCGCTCCTCGAGGTTGTTGACCTAGTGCTGTCAGCAATAGCACCGCCGAGTGCAATGCGAGTGCGCTGCTGGCGCCCTCATCTTCAACTCACGTAAATTCTGTGGTTCTCCATTAGCATCAAGGGGACCTACCTTTTGGGCATGATCTTGCACTTACGTTTCAATGGGCACTGGGTATTTGCTGGGGTCTACGAGACCACCGCCCATTACTACGCCCTCCATCTTGTCCGCCATCTTGAAGCGACTGTTGTGTGTGGAGTGGGGTTGTACGGCGTCGTCTCACCTAGCGGGTGAAAGCTATCGGGAGCTCGAATTCGAGATCCGCGCCAAGCACGCTAGGCTGCGTCTCCACGTGACGGCGAGCGCAGCACTTCGGGACTGCCATTTGCACCAAGTGTCTCGCCCTTTCCATCTTCCCAAAACGACAGGAGCCATGGCTATTGGTTCGCAACATAACACAAGAGCTGTAGTCCCCCAGCTGACCTATGCGACATGGACGACTGTGTAGACATGATCTGGGCTGTTCTTCTATCGATGCAATGTTTCTTCTGTATCGCCAATAGTTTTCGCGTCTATTTTCCGTTGCTGCTACGCGTGGTCTGGCCGCTTGCATTTCTCAGCGAGCACTGACGTCAGCATATGTTTAAGGGCTCGTGCGGAAACTTCTTCAGAAGCCTTTCAAGTGAGCTGGACCATCAATCTTGCATTTGTTTATGGTTCCGATCCGGAGTTCTGTCAGCACACTATAAACTCTCAGAGTCGTTTCAACAATGTCCCCACCAAGAGGGCTGCGATGGCGGTCACATCCATTGTTCATCGTCTTCACTGTGGGCATGGGCGCATTCGTGGATCTGTTCCTGTATGGGCTTATTGTACCGGTACTTCCATTTCTGCTCAAGGACCGTATCAATCTTCCAGATTCGCAGATTCAAAGCACTATATCAAACCTTCTGGCAGTCTATGCGGCCGCTTCCTGTGCAGCGTCTCCCATTGCTGGTATCCTAGCCGACAAATGGTCCTCGTCTCGACAGCTGCCGTTTCTCCTCGGGCTTATACTGCTTCTCCTTTCGACTATCCTTCTCGCTCTCGGACGTAGCGTTGCTGTTCTGGCCATTGCCCGGTTCCTGCAGGGAGCGTCGGGTGGCGTGGTGTGGACTATCGGCATTGCTCTCGTGATCGAGACCGTTGGAAACGAGAATCTAGGCAAGACTATGGGCACCATTTTTAGCTTCATCTCAGTCGCCGGACTGTTCTCGCCCATGGTTGGAGGGCTTCTATATGCCAGGACTGGATACAAAGGCGTCTTTGGCGTTGGCATAGGCTTGATTGGTATCGACTTTATTTTGAGAGTGCTCGTCGTGGAGAAGAAGGTGGCCGGAAAGTACTCTAGTCCTGATTCACATGCCTCGGAACCAGACGGAAATGACCACGAAGATACAGAACAGACACCTCTTCTACCAAACAACCACTCTACGATTGATCGTTATCGCCTGCCGAAGCCTACGAATCGCTTTACACGCAACTTTCCTATCCTCATGCTGTTCCGCGATGCTAGTCTCTTGACCGCTATCTGGATCGGCTTCATGCAAGCTCTTCTGCTTGGGTCTTTCGATGCTACCGTGCCGCTGGTAGCTTCAGAGCAGTTTGGCTTCGACAGCTTGAAAGCTGGACTGCTCTTTCTACCGCTTGGCGGTGCGGATTTCTTACTGGGCCCAGTCTTTGGGTGGTGTGTCGACCGGTATGGTACGAAGCCAGCAGCTATCCTTGGATTCTCCTGGTTGATACCAGCGCTCGCACTACTCCGGCTTCCGACTGAATCAGGTATAATTCAGAGGCTAGACAATGGACATCTTATCGCACTCTACTCTGGACTACTAGCGATGAATGGAGTGGGGCTGGCAGCAATTAATAGCCCCAGTTTCGTCGAAGCTGGCAATCTTGTCGAGAAGTATTATAAGGCGAACGAAGACATGTTCGAGCAAGCTCCGTACGCACAACTTTACGGCATCAACAGCATGGTATGGAGCGGTGGACTGACTGTAGGCCCATTGCTGGCAGGGAAACTAAGAGAGACGATTGGGTACGGAAATATGAACGCGGTGCTTGCTGGTATCTGTGGATGCACAGTGGTTCTGGCGGCACTCTTCATCGGCGGTAGAAGAAAAGATTAGATTCGTGTACAAAGAAGTATGGTTTCTTTGGACGGTATCAACTAACCATGAAACCATGGTATATCCTAGAGTCATTTGCGGTACTCTGTATTGGTTGACACTCAAATAAACCTGATAGACACCTTCAGGCTATGATTACTCGAGTACAACCACTCGAAAAGAGCTGTCTCGTGAATAGTACATCGGTCAAGGCTACTCTGCAATATCAGACATTGAGATATATGATTTGGCTGCTCTTTTGCTTTCAAAGGCTTAGAGGTGATTTCAAAGCTCGTCGGTCTATCTTAGGTTAATGTTATAGTCGGCTGGGTGTTATTGCTCCAAAGAGTGGAGGAGTAGGGTAATAGTTTTCCAACCCTACTATTCACCATGTCTTACTATGACTTTTTCATAGTAATAGTGGAATTGAACAGAGCTAGCCTATACACTCGCCCAGTTTTGGTGTCCCAGATATGATTGGGCTAAGATCGTTTGTTGCGAAATGCACTGAACGAGTTCCTGTGGGATTCCCATACAGTTCGCTTTGTTTGTCTGCTGCTCTTAGAATACAGGACGTCATGGTATGTCGGCAAACGCGGAATCAATGTCTCCTAAGAAGATTGCCGGATTGTCGAGACTATCCCACATCGAATCCTCAAAAGCGAAAGTATCTGTTGAGAATTCTGCTGGAACTTGCAGTGGCGTTGGAAGAGCTCTACGCGACTCCTGAGTTTCGTCCGCTTCAATAGTTGTACACCCAGGCGGAGGCTGATTGACGGTCGGTGCATTCGGATCAACAGGCAAGAACTTGGTATCGTAGAATGACTTCGCCCACTTTGTCTTAGCAGACCACTTCGCAAACGCCTCATTGTTCAGGACCAGACCATCAGGACGAGATGCCGACACAGCATCGTAGCGTTGCGAGGCCTTTTCCAAAAACGACGAGAAGTCAATAAACGATCTCAGAGCTTCTACATCCCAGCCGTTCATCTCGATCAAACTCGCGCGGACAAGCACGACGAAGATGTACGCAAACTGGGCGAAAACGCCGAAAGGAACGAGAGGATAGTGTTCGACAGGCAACTCCAGGTATATATCTGTGTACCTTTTCGCAGCGTCCATGCAGTGCCACATGCCGTCTAATCTCTGCCGTAGGTCCTTCTCTTTGACTGTATGATTGGCTAAGTTCCCAAATGAGCGTTCCCAGATAGCAGTCCGGGTACAAGCTTGCTGCAAACGCAGCACTATCGCTGACATTCCATTCGCGGATGCTAGCTCAATGTCATCGACATCGCTGAGGAACGACTTGGCGTAAAAGCTCACTGGCGCATGATCACATTCTGTGCCCATGGCTTCCTGCATGATGCGCTGGCTCTGAGCTAATTGTACAAGTAAAATGTCGCTCTCATATTCTTTAGCTTGCGTCAGTGCTTCAGAACACTTTGTAAGCCAAGGAGACCAGTGTAGAGTGTCGACTTTCCGAAACGATGTGAGAATCTGTGAAGTTAGATAGAATGTTCCAAGCACTGCACGTCGCTCGTCATTTGTTACGACTTTCGCCGGTTGTGGTACGCCATGCGCCTGTGAGGCTGCCATCAAAGCCACCTTTTCGCAGAATCCTGGTGCACGGTCGATATCCAGATCGTGGGTGAGCGCCATGGTAAGATGCAGGAGTACTGTGTGGCTTGGTGGTGCGAATAAATGTGGGTTATACCAATTGCCGAACACTAACATGCCTAGAGTATTGATTACAGAGTCAGTATATATCTCATACGCAGTATGTGGGAGTATTTACCCTGAAGCAGATCTAGCGACTTCTCGCCTTTGATCAACATCCTCTCGGAGACTTGTCGCATGAGATCCTTCACCATGGGCTGTTGAATTGCCGTGTCATGAAAGTAAGCTACCGTCTCGATAGCCTTTAAGAGAAATGGCTTGCTACCGGCCAAGTTGGAAGCATTGATGCCACTCGGAATCACCATAAAAGGCATGTGAGGCGCCATAAGCCTCCGGTAGCGATCGAGCAAGACGTCGGCATCCGTCACATTCATTCCTGTTGGTACGTGTTCGAAATGGATTGTCTCAAGTGGTGGGTCGTGAGCAGAGGCCAAAAAGTCGTTAGATCTTGTAGTATCTGGAGTTATGACCAGCGGTGTTGGATATATATCATCGGTCTCCTGATATAGTCCGTTCATTTGCTGTGATATAGGACTCCGCAAATTCGATCCTGCCGACATCTCTTGTGCTTGTTTACCGGCCAAAGCCTGGGCTATATCTGCGAGCTTTGTTTCGAGATTTTGCAATTGAGCAGATCGTCTGCTTGCAACTCAGCATCCTGATCTATAGTAAAAACGTGGCTCAAGCTGACTTACGTGGTTTTTCTTGCCTGTCGTTTGCGCTTCACTGGCTCCCGAATCTGGCAGGTCTTGTGTAATCGTATACATCTAAGTACACACTGAATTAGTCGTCTTGTTTCCTGCGCATTTTGCAGATCGATTTGCCGTGCTATCCAACGAACGATAATGCGGTCACTGACCTCTCGCAATCGCCGTTTCCTGGGCGCCTGATGCATTTGCTCTTGGCCTTCGCACAGACTGTGCATGATCCATGATGTGTATGAGTAGTGTTCTGCGAAGTGACTGTTGCGTCTTCTAGTTCTTCATTTGATGAATCCATAGCGACTGAAGTGTCGTAATAGCAGGTTGGCACTCTTTGGGAGGCAACAATGATGATGAGGAGGAACAGACTAGATGGGACTAGGTAAAGCGACGGATGTATCTGCCCGTCCGTCTAAACTCCGAAATCTCCAACATGACCTTTACGGCGCAAAGTTCAACCGTTCAGTAGGTCCTCGTGTGCGCCTCCGTATCGTTTACCTGCTATGGGAAAGGTCTGTTGTGCTTTGTAAAGATCTTTCATATCTTCATCATTCAACTCTGATAGCCTGCTGTTCATAATGGCGCGCTCGATATTGGTGGATCTAGGAATAGGAATCGCCCCTTGACGCGCTACCCAAGCGATAGCGACCTGCGATGTCTTGAGGCCTTTGCGACGGGCGACCTTCTCAACGGCCTCGACAAGTTTGTAGTTTTGATCGAAAACTTCAGGCTTGAAGCGGTCGAACATCTGAATTCGAAAGTCATTTGGCGACAGATCGTCGATCTTCTTGAAATTGCCCGTAAGCCAGCCTCGTCCGACCGGACTGTACGCGATGACAGGGATGCCGACTAGGATTTCGTTATCAATGTTGGTCTTCCAATGACTTCAGCGCGCATCGACTTACGTTTATGGCATGTGTCCATAATGCCATTGTGGAGCGGATCGGGTGTAAACAAACTCAACTCAATCTCTACGGATGCGATAGGATGCACAGCGTGAGCTTTGCGGATGGTATTCGCGTTGACTTCGGACAGGCCGATACCGCCAATCTTGCCCTCTTCTACCAGCTCAGCCAAGGCTTTTACAGACGTCTCAATGGGCGTGTGGGGATCGACGCGGGCTAGAATGTCCTTAGCTATCGATCTCATATGGTCCTTTAGAGTCCTCATACCCATCTCGAATACGTCAATGGCCTTTGCGCCTCCCAACCCCTTAAGAGCTTGTTCTACAGATGCGCGGATGGCCTCCGGACTTCCTGCTGGTCCAGTGTAACGGTCGTAGGCACCCTTGATGTTAAGGACAACCTTCTCAGCATCCTGTGGGTACTTCTCGAAGTAGTATCGCAGCAAGTGTACCGAGTTTGATTCTGGCGTGCCATAGTGAAGCCCTCCATTCCAAAGGTTGGCACCCTGGTCCAATGCCTTTTTCAGTAGGCTTGCTTGATGCTCGCGCTCAAACTGGGGGAACGGAGGAGGGAAAGTCAAGCCTGAGGAGTCTGTTAGGAGTAGTTCTTTTCCGTTTCGTGCATGATAGCGTACCCATCATTCCAAATCCGATGGGGCCTACAGGTTTGCCACACACACGTGAGGCTGCTGCTCTTCCGATGCTCATGATGGAGGGTTTATTACAAGGAAAGCACTCTCAGATAGAAGGCTCAGCAATTAGAACGAAGATTTGATTGCGATCAATGATGCGGTTGATAGAAGCGACTGCTACGCTCTTATAGCTTCATCCTGAGCGGTACTGCGAGCGAACATACCATCCGGTCCCGCACGTCAAGCATGCCTCGTTCGGCGCTACGATACATCTCTGGAAGAGTGAGAAATGAAAGCTATTGTTCCGTTCCCGGTGGCACGGTCGCATGGCTCTACGGTGTTGAGAAGAGATGGAATTAGGGAGACGCGCGGTAGCAGTTCACTGGGCCGTCGGTACTTCGGGCGCTGTTCCAATCTCCGCTCCCGTTCGAACGGCGGCTCGGCACCCAAACTCAACACCACATAACAAGAACAGGCCAAAGCCTCTCTCATAAACTGATACCCAGGAATCAGACCGACAATGACTTCTGGTCCCTTTCGTATAACATAATCCTCAACACTACACTCGTAGAATCGTTATCCGCCTTCAGTACATGGTCTTCCAAATGGATGAAACCTAAATGCTGGTATAGTGGAAATCCCATTGGACTTGCCTCAAGCCCAACATCGAAGCCAGCAGTCATGGCTTGATCGATACCCCATTGAGTGAGCGCAGTACCTGCGCCTCGCCGACGATAGTCTGGATGGGTCGCGAGCAGAGATAGGTAGAAGTTCTGGGGGTATGTCTTTTCCCAATACTTTGAGTGCGTGTAGTTCATCCCTTTCTCAAACGCCCCCAGTCGATTCACATCGGCATCGCGCCGCGGAAACTCCTGGCGTATGGCCCAGTTCTCTAGCTTGGTGACACAACCTATAGCTACTCAGCGGCATCCAGATTAGGGTTCACGCATGAATGCTCACGGTGTATCGTCTCCAACGAGCAATTATTGTACAGACTGGTTAGAGCCTGTGTCGCCGTTCTCTTCTCATTCCTCTCCCAGATTGCGAAAGCGAGTATTGTCGCTACTGCTTCTCCACGATCTTCGCTTTTCTTATCCAATGGCGCGACTTCTTCAGCTACGAGGAACGTGATGTTTGGGGTATACAAATAAGTCTTGAATACTTGCAGCCAGAAAAAGTAGTTGTCATCAGGATATTGTTGCCTGTACCTGTAAAGCCACACGAATGTTGGGTCGTCAGGTAAGCTGGCGAGGCTGACTGTTGTAACGCGTGGCAGATCGCGGAGTTCTGCTTGCCTGACCCTGAATTGCGACATACTGTTCGAAGAGCAACGAGGCGAACGGCCGCCTAAGGTGGTGCTGACCCCTCCATTTAACATTAAGCAAAAGGGACTTGGACTAAGCCACCAGTAAGTAGGATTCTCTGCCCTTGGCCTGATGTAGAAGGCACAGCTGTATCGAATGACAGGACCTGTACGTGAGCAAGGGGGCGGTTGGTTATCGGCCGTCACCACATGCACAGGCTATCTGGCCAGTTGATAAGGCGCTCGCGCAACCTCGCAAATGGTCTGTCACGTCTTTTGTAACAAGACGTCTACGCGCTACATATGAGTAAGCACGATATTCTTCTGTCGCAGAGAGAGCACTCATTACGTCATCGAATGATATGTAGACTAAAGTCTAATTAGCTAAATCAGCTGTGCGTATCCTAAGTAGGGATGGAACAAAGCCCGTGTGCGAAGGGACAACCCAGATCAAGTTAGTATCCGTGTCACGACGGCTGTCTGTATGTGGCTGCGCAATATAGCGATATGTGGACAAGATTCTTCCTATTAATTTGTTCTGTATGCCTCTCTCAAAATTTTTATAGGTTACGTTATGTTGAAGGTGTTGAATACTGAAATTTTGTTTTGATACCAGAAAGCCTGAAGGTTAGTCTGGAATAGGCAAGGTCCTTTACCTGGTTCACCAACGAGGGCGTCAACTAATGGCACACCGCCTTGTGTAACATCAAAGTTGAACTTATTTGGACACCGCTGCATGTAAGGTTGTACATGAAGCGCACGACTTTCACAATTGCGTAACGTGCGATATGCCACCCACTCAGAGATTGTTGGCCGTTAAGAGCATATGTGGATAATATCTAAGGCCACAGTACACGTGAGATGAGCGATGACCAAACTGTAGGCATGAAAGCACTGGTTGCCCCGATGCCTCAAAACTGCCGCATTCGGTTTGACTTGAATTCCTGCGCATGAGGCGGTAAGTTGTGCCCAACAAATGCGCTTGATCGCGATTGGTTTGGCTTCAGATGTATGCCCACGTATCTGCATAGCCTGCAGGCTGTGCAACTCAGTTTTACATATGATGTCGTCGTTGCCACGCCCCTCAATTTTCATCACAATCTCTTGCAGTTCAGAGTCAGCGTATACGGCACCACTCTACTACTCATGCGCCATGGGTTGGATGCTCGCCAATAAAAAGGCAGAAGTGTGTTGCTCGATATGCGACTGCCTCGGCTTCTTTCACACGCGCGGCTCTAACAAGCTTCAGCGTCCTAGCCTTACTGTTCTGCCAAATCGCTCTTTCGATGAATTTAGCAAATCGGCCAAGCAAGGATGTTGCTTCTGCGATGTTGTTCAGCAAAGCTTTCAGCTATTGCAAGATGTGTCAGTAGAGATGCGGGTCGAACTCTTACTCTACGGACAGTCACCAGCTGAGTTACACGCGTCACTCAACAGAGATATTCACGAAGTGGTGGAAATTTATTCATGTTCAAGTAAGCTTGCTCTTTTGTGATGCCCCTCTGCATGGGTAGCTCTGGCTAAGAATTGCCATGTAGCAAACATAAGGCAGAACCCTATTGTGGGGAACGACGTTGCCAAAGTATCGAGCTTGAATGCGTCAGTGCAGTTCTTGAGGGAGAATTTCTACAGTTGCAGAACTGAGCATGAGAAATGTCACGATCCCAATTGTACCTACCTTCCGAAACGCATAGTCGATATATCCAAGCCACGATACCGGGTCTTCGAACCAGCTGCTTACACAGAGGGTGTATATGCTACTCTGTCGTATTCATGGGGCGGCCGAGGTTTCCCAATGACCACGTCCCAGAATTATGAAGAGAGGAAGCATGGCTTCGATCGAGACGCGTTGCCTATAGCTTTTCAAGATGCGGCTGCGATGGCGTGGAGCCTCAACATACACTATATATGGATCGACACTCTTTGCATAATCCAGGATGATGCCGCGGATTGGGAAGAGCAGGCTGCGAAGATGGGACAGATCTTTGAGGGCGCTGCCATCACAATCGCAGCCTCTTTGTCCACGGATCCGTATCAGACTTTTTTTACAGCACGGGAATCCTCGTATCAGGAAGCCGAATTATATAGCGAGTTCAAGGGAGAACTTACCGATGTCGTTTTCAAAGCAAGGAGGAAGATTACTCGAGGAATTCACGCCAAAGTTGGGCGTTCGAGGGACATTGATCCACTTGACCAACGCGCATGGGGTTTGCAAGAGAAAATGCTCTCCAGACGACTTATAGCCTTCACCGGGGCAGAATTGCAATGGACGTGTAGAACACTCAAGGCGTGCGAATGCCACCATAATACATCTCCATCGCAACCACTATTTCCCACGCCTACTGGACCGATAGCTGCCAACGATTTCGTGAAACTCTCCAAGAGTTGGAGCCAGATCGTCGAAGAATACTCAACCCGCAAATTGAGGTACCCTGCCGACAAGCTACCAGCTTTGGACGGTTTAGCAAGCAAATTTGGGACTGCAACTGGATGGACGTACATCGCTGGTGGATGGAGAGAGACTATACTCTATGATCTAGTCTGGCAACGCGACCTTGGACCAACCGTGTCATCTGCAGGCCGGCGCGGCCCCAGTTTCTCGTGGGCATCCTCGCCTGGCGCTGTCAACTTTCGGTTTGCGCGTCACTCGTATCCTGGTTATCGAATTGAACACACGACATTTATCGATTTCGGTTACAGAAGTGCTGGCAAACATGTATATAGCAAGGCACCGGACGCATGGTTGAGGATTCGAGGTCACACTGTGTCAGCTGTGTTGCGACGATCTTCTCACGATTTTCAAGCATACAAAATTTGCATCGATGAAGCGACGTACTCGCCAAGTACAGATCAGCGGGCCACTTGTGAATTCTCTATCGATGCTTCGATACCGTACTACGATACGAAGAGAACTCCCGGAGCATTAGAAAACCGACCAAATGAAGGGTCGAATGGACCTGACGATCATGACAAAGAGCAGTCGATTCTACTCCTAAGCCTTTACTCTATCCATCACCAGAGACACCTGTACCATAATTTCTTGATACTTGAGAGATCTGACGACGATGTTGACTCTTATCGGAGGATTGGTGTAGGTACAGGTAAGATGTACCGTGGTAAGGGCTGCGAGGATAGTTTTCCAAGCGAGCGGCAGCTAGTCAGACCGTTTGAGTGGTTGTTACAAGATCTCGAAAAGGGTGGTCGCCGCTTCGCTGACATCGTGGAACGAGACCTGAGCGTACGATAGTCTTGTGATATGCTGCATCACATTTAGCACTGTCAGCACCATGCTTAGCAGCACCCCTACATCATCTCTCGGTCACCCGATATGCGTGGTAAATCGTGACGGTAGGTGCCCTGTTTGTCTAGACACTCGTGGCATTTGTTTTCTCCGGTCGCTGCCCAATTTGAACAATCGTTGGTGATACACCTTACGGAAGACATGTGCGCCAGACTTCTGATTGGACAAGCGGAGAACCTATGGGATACAGAGTTTAGTAAGAGGTAAGTGAAAGGATTGGTGGTATGTACAGTATTTGACAATTGTAGGACGTGGGAGAGGACAACTTGTGGAAGCCTTATACACAGCCCAACCGACCCCGCATCTGCATCGCCTGATGCCTGACAAGGTGCATGATTTGTCGCAGCAGCCTCTCGCTACTAGATGTGCATATAAACCCTAGGGCTCTTCTCCACACGGTCTTCGTGTGATAGGTCAGTATACCACGCCACGTGGTTGTGGCGAAGAGCTACGACAACTCCAGATCTTGCCGTCTACTCCAGTCTGACTTGTTTTCACATAGTTCAATCATGTGGAACAGATCCAACCGATCTCATCCCAGATTGCAACAATGGTTTGTCAAAGTCGTCACACGCATTCGATGAGCTGCACGGTTGGCCCTGATTCCTGGTTTTCTGTTTTGTGGTAGCTTTCTTTGTGGAGAATCCACCAGTGGTCATGATTATATTGCAACTCAAGGCTAGCCATCAGAATCTCTGCGGTCACAGAAAGACAATTGAAAAAATGGTTCATATCAAAGCGCAGGCCTGTGGAAGCCCCTCCAAATATTCCCCTGGCATGTAACCTGCTCCGACCCTTTCATATAACGTTATACCATCTTGGCTGAAGGTTTCCTTTGGCCTGACCACTAGTATACAATGTGTCTTCTCCTCGGTAGCCCGCGAGCCTTTTTCGATACCTAGAACGATGGCCATGAGCTTTGGAAGCTCACAATCTTTTGGGTCGTCGAAAACGATGTCGCATCCGTGCTTCCTTTCTCTCGGGCATTTAAAAGCTTGTGATTTTCCAACGAATGCATTGCTGAAAACTGAATATGATGAAGTTCCCCATGGTGGTGATCGAATGTTTTGCCAGTCGTATCCTTGCCAGGGCAGATGGAGGTAATCAATACCACCAGACACTGACATCCAAGACCAGGACGGCACGTGCTCTCGATCATTTGGAAATGCGATCCGTTTCAAGTGGTGCGTATCCTCTCCACGACGCCATAAGAGACTGCGGCGGAGGAAGCCTTGATTGCTGCCATCGTCCAGGACGCCGAATCCGCCTTTCACGCCCATCGTCCTAATGAGACGCTGCTGCAAGCCATCGATGGCTGTTGGACGGTCATAGTCCGACGAGAGTTCGAGTCGAGAATACTGTTGATATAATTCTTGAAACCTGGAAATGCGTTCACCGTGGTTGGCTGGGTCGAGGATCTTAGGGAAGTCTGGATCTCCAAGTAAAGCAGCAAGCTGGCTGGTAAGTTGGCAACACAGTCAGTTTCCTTCAAAGAAGATCTAAGCAAGACGACCCCGAGGCACGGCACTCACTTTGTCATTTTTATCATGGTTTCGCATCGAACTCCACGGCCACATTCCCAATACATTTGATACTCGGTGAAGAACACTGTTCGTCGAGCTAGAGCATGCTCCTGTAAGACCCATCCACGCTTGTGCAAGGCACCTTGTAGTACATGACTTCGAAAATCTTCAATGAAGCTACAGACGTAGATCGTACCACCGCCGCCACCACGACCTTCGTGATTCAAAGCGACGGACGTTCTTGCTACGCGAGGCAGCAGAAACCCTGATCTTTGATCAGTGGCACAGCTAGCGGCCAGAACGCAGTATGCTCCACTGTACACATCTTCCATTCGCTTGAACTCAGCACTGAAATCACCGTCTTTGCCTTGTATAATGCAAAGCGAGTCTATCCAAAGATACTTGTGTCCCAAAGCCCGAGTAACTTTGATGGCATCTTGGAAAGTTCGGGGTAACGCTGTCAGCTTCATCCCCTCGATATGACTGTGAAGGTTTTGTCGGGTTGTAGAAAAAGGCGAAGAATCGCCCCATCGGTAAGAAAGTGCGATCCAACTAACAGCGTTCTTGCCTTTCATCTCTTGAAGATGGACGATATCGTCTCCATCTTTTCCAACGTATACGAGACGGGTTGGCATTGTGGTAGTCGCATCGGTCTTTAAACGCAAGTCTTTAAACGGTTTGCACGTGTGGGAGTGCATGTTGTCGCAGTCATCAAGCCAGCTTCTTACGATGCTAAACTGCTGAGGCGTACCGACACCCGGAAGCTCAGCAAGCCCGATCTGGATGTCATGTGCTCGACTGTTAGGATCTGTGTCGGCAACAGCAGTGAGTACATATTGGACGATCGAACTTCAAAGCGCTGGCTTACCATTGCTCCGGAGTAAGGTACACACGGGATTTTTCACACCGCTCATATACATAGCAGAATCCATGCGATAGAAACGAACCTCATTGCACTCTGTGGAGGCGTATCTTTGGTGAGTCTGCCATAGTAAACAGCACAGATTGCAGAGTTTGGCATCCGCATTGCATTTCAGTGCCCGGGTCATGTATGACTTCGAGAAATCCGTCTGTGGTAACTGCTCACCAAACTCTTTACAACCCGTGCATAGGTCGGCCGAAGGCAGGCTCTGAGGTGAAGGAGTTCTGGTAATAGTTACCAATCGAGATAAGAGCTGCGCGGCAAATACGTTGTCTAGTTCGAGCTGCCAATCCTCTGGGTCCAATGATGGATGATCATAATCAACCTTATGAGTTGTAGGAACGCGAAGATTGGTTGCAGTGGATATATGAGGGGCAGAGGGCGCCAGCAAGCGGGAAGAGCTGTCGGTTCCCACTGGCTCGGGTCTTGGATCCTGAAACCGATCCCAGTAGCGGTTCCCTTTCTGAGTTTGGAGGATGCGACTCAAATCTTCCTCAAGCTCATCGGCACGAAGCCTGACGTTATGTTTTGGTTCCGGGTTTTGCAGTCCAGTAGGTTCCGTAAATAATGATTCAGTGATGTTGAATGTTGGAGTGATGCCATGCGCGTTAGAAGTTTCAGCAGCATCATCAAGCTTTGCCGATTCTGGCGCAGTGACTTGAATCGTTGGATGAGAATCATGCGCATCTGTAAACGTTTGGGTATCAGCGGACTCAATAGATCTCGCCTTGATATTCTTCGGTGCATCAGCCTGAGATACGAAGCCACCGCCCTTAGGAAGCTCAACAACCAACAGCCCTGTGCGGACAATTTCAAGAAGATCACCGAGGGCTGTTTCTTCTGAGCGGCACAATGCGTCATTTGACATGTGATCCATCCAGTGTTCCACCACGCCATGTACCTTTGCGATTCCAGTAGCGCGTTCGCGTTCGTAGAAGAAGTCAGAAGTACCATATGTTCCCGAATTACTATTATTGAACTTGTTGAGTCGCTCCATATCATAAAGATACCATATGGTGCATTCGAAGATGATACAGCCGAAACCCCAAAGGTCGTATAACCGGGAACGCTTGGGCAAACCTTGGCCTTGTCTTGGTGAATGCGGACCAGTTTCGGGGGGTTCGTAGCGTCTCGTACCGTACCCAGCATCGGTATCCACGTGGCGCAATGAAGTTACGTCCTTGTGGATCTTTGCCTCACCCCAATCGCCGATTTTGAGTGTGCCGTAGGGACATGTGGCATCGCGGAACCAGAGAATATTGGCAGGCTTCAGATCTCCATGGCGGCAAACTGCACCGTGAGCAGCGGTGAGCGCTTTTGCAAGGCCGCGCAATTGCCCGATCAGCCATTTCATCAATTCGGCCGTCCGCGGAAGTTCAGCTTGCTGTTTCCAAAAGTCGCCAAGGTTTCCTCCATGGGCCCATTCAAATAAGAGGAAGTATTCCAGATCATCCGGTGCACCGCGTTGGAACGATGTCAGAAACCGAACGATATGGTCCTTCTCGAGCGTATTCATCATTTCAAGAGCCTTGACTTCGTTTTCTACATCAGTAGCAACGTGTTTTCCGCCTTTCCTAAAGGCTTTAACAGCAACCACGCAAGGTTCGCTTGAGACCTATACAGGAAAATCACTTTAGATGGACGAAATACAGACAATGAGTTAAACATACCGGATCAAGCAGGTCCTCGTGATGCGCCGGGTGAATTGTGTACTTATGAACGATGCCATGCGCCCCACTGCTCTTGTGTGTGCTTTGATCGATGAAAGGGATTGGGCAGCGTTCGTCGAAATGACCATTCTGTTCTTTCGTTGAGAATTTTGGAGCTAAAAACATCCACTGGGCGTCCTCAAAACTATTGATGGAGGACACATCCCATATGGGATCTTCTGCTGCACTTTGGCTACTGTGACCAATTTCCATACGTGAGAATAAATGATTCTCCGAATTGTTCTTCAATTGGTCTCCAGACCACGCTGAGAGGGGCAGGCTGCTGTCTGTGAAAGGATGATCCATGAAAAGCTTCATCGCTTCATAGAGCTGATCGTGTTTTATCCAAAGTAGGATAAGGAAGACGATCCTCGAATTTTTCAGGATGTGATTTGCAAGCGCTCGGTTGTCTAAGCTTGCAATATTCGGTTCAATTTCCATGAGTCTAAGCACAGTGTCAGCCGGATCTTCTCCGCTGCCAGCTTGATTGATCGAGGTCTTCGGCATTATGTCTTGGAGGATGTGTCGTGGGAAGAACTTTTTGTTCTTCGTCTTTTCGAACATGCTCAGTTGCAAGTCAAAAGTGATGCGGCCCAACAGGCGCTTCCGCAGTAACTTAGCAGAAGCAGGCTTGGAATTTGAGCCTAGCGGAGTGCTGTTTCTGCAGTCGAGACTTCTCGTATGTTTGCCGTCACCTTCCACTACCTGCTCGCCATGTTTCACTTCCTCTTTACTGTCTCTTCTTGTACTGATGCCGGCTGTTTCCGATCGCACAATAGCCATATCGTCTGGCCAGACTGCTTGAAACATACGAATGCGCTTGCGAAAGGCTGTGATAAGGCTGGCAGTGAATGTACTGAGCCCAATAGTTCCATGTCACAAGACAAAGGTATAGAAGCTTGGGGTGTGAGACATTCGACAGTGGCACTACGGCATCTCGAGATAAGCCATCATCCGCGGCTCATCGCATCCGCTGTCGTGGATTCACCGGAACCTGACCTACGCTTCGCTGCAGAGGAAACAGCGACAGCAGGTGCATGCTCTTACCAGCATGCCTGTACTGGCATGGGCGATTCGCCTTGCGAGATGGGATTCGGCTCTGCCTTGCGAATCAGCAGTCGAGGATCTGACTAGTGAGGATATCAGGAAAGCGATGTGCATACATCGGTGATCAAGCGCAGATGAACATTATTGTGGCTGGACTCGACGTGCAGCTCATATGTATAAGTGGCTGTCATGGGCTCTAGGAAGAAGGCAGCGGTAAGGCAAAGTGCAGCGGCAACCTGAAAGCGGAACGAAGGACCTCCCGTGTGGCGAATGTGGGGTCCGGCCTAGAGTCCTCCCACCATCTTCTATGCGACACGCTAGAGCCATATCACTGCCAATGAAGGAGCCCTCGTGCTAATCTCAGCCGCGCGCTAATGTTGTTATCGGAAGATCGCAATCTTGATTGTGCTCGACCACCATCGCGATGAATGACGCTGCAAAGAGTTTCGCCATGAGGCAGCTAAGGATGCCGTTCTAGTACTCAGATAGACAAGGTACGAAGTCGCACACTTGAGCAACAGGAGCTGCTCAGATAGGACTCGAGGATACTCAGATAAGTAATCGCTTACTATATCCTCGAATCTGCCATTCGACGATATAGGCGGTGCCCACCGTACGTAATGCGATTGTGGAATGATTGATTGATCTGACCATGCTGCGTCCACGGCAATGGGCCCCCAATGGTTGGAGTCTGGACAAGATCCATCCACACCACCTCGTATCAGATACCTATGCCAGCACATAGTGTCAGCTGAACCAGGCCAGCCTAGGAGGAAAGGTTCACTTTCCCTAATCTGGACGCGCCACCATGCACCAGGTATGGCCATATCCGCCCCAGGAGTTGACATCGACGAGAAATCGTGGATTACTTTCCTCCAATCCTATAAACTGCCAAGTCTCAGTAGCGACAGATCCAGTCACTCAGCCGAAGAATCTCAGGCGCGGATCTCTCGACTCAGACACTTCCAGGAGGCTGCAACAGACCCACATATTGACTGCAAGATATGGCCGAACACACCGACCAGACCTTGAAAAAGCTTGAGCAGCATGACACCGTACAGAAATACCTAGTCCACTCAGATGAAAGTACTGAAGAAGTAATCATTGCGGGGGTTTCTAATGAATATGGTGTGGAGAATCATATCGCTAGGCACGCATCTCAAGGCAAGCGACTGTTACAGATCTACAATTTTGGGCTCTTTCTGACAAACGAAAGCTTCTGGGGGGTTTCTCAACGCCATGCAAACTGATGTAGCACAGCCGGCCAGAGCAGCTGTGGCAGCAAATGAAATACACGATGAAAACGAAAGTCCATCATCTCGCCCAAGGTCTATAAGTGTTAGCAGGTTTTTCCCCAACTTGAAGTCTCCCAGAGAACCGAATGTGAAGGCCCATAGAAAGACACAATCTGAAAACATTGCTGGACAAGCGGCCACGACAAACATTGAAAGCAGAACACCACCACGAAGAAACCGCTCCGCCGTTAACTCTCTCTCGTTGAAGACCGAAAGGGGCCAGCAAACTGATCAAGGAAGTGAGATCAAAAAGACACAGTGGCAAGAGCCTGAAAAAACTGGTAAACCAATACGCACTGCCGTTTTTGATCGATCACGTCTCGACCATCAGCTCATAGTAGCTTTAAAGGACGATGATTCCACTCATAGGAAGTTTCTACCAAACGGCGACCTCGACCGACTGGTCACGCAGGAGTTGGTGAATCGTGAATTGTCAAGATCAAAGAAGGAATATTTCGCGACAAAGATATTGCAGCGACCCTGGCTGTCATCGAACAAGTATGTCCGAGTCGAACCATCCATGGAACATGAGCACATACGACATGGGCAGGTCGGGTTTCCGGAGGGCACAGCGACTCAACCTGACGTACCATGCTACCGGAAAATCTTTGCGGTTTTGGTGTTCATGGGTCGACAACGTAAGATAAAGGCTTTCGTTAAGGAACGGGTTTGCGATAGAGATCTTCCTCTGGAGGTTGAAAATTTCCAATTACGCCGCCGTGGCGATGCGCAATCCGTTCTGAAGTGTCTTAAAGAACCCAGCGATATTGAGCAATTTGTGACTTGCCAATGGTGGGTTCTTGCACGCACATTCAACAAACTAGATGATGGAACACATCCGTGTTTCAAAGCAGCAGTGAACGAAGTTTTACCCTTCACACGGTGGGAAAATACGAGGCGTTGGGGCGCGTCCGGTAAGGTGTACAAAGCTGAAATACATCCAGATCATCACGAATTCAACAAGCAAGAGGAAAGTGAATTCTGTCACATTTCCCGCGCTGACTAACGGTCTCCTTAGGCTCCTAATAACGTGGTTGCAGTGAAGAAGATCTGCGCCTACAATCCCGAGGCGTCCCATGAACTCAATGTGCTTCGAAACTTGCGCAAACAGCAACATCTACATCATCACCTGTTGCCTTTAGTTGCGGCTTATAAGCAGCATGATTGCCTTTTTTTGATACTCCCATGGGCGGAGGCGGATCTCAATCAATATTGGAAAATGAACGACCCAACATCGTTGGGTAAGAGCGCCGAACTCTCTACTTGGCTGAAACAACAGTGCTATGGCATAGCTGAGGCGGTCTCCCGAATACACCGTTATGACACGACATCTGGCACAATGATGCTCTCGAGTGACACTTCACTAGAGCCAAACCCTAAGTCTGCGCAACGCCACCCACAATCGAACCAGTCGCCTGATCCTCCAAACCGAAAGACTCTTTTCGGTCGGCATGGCGATATCAAACCTGCGAATATCCTCTGGTTTCCTGGCAAGCGGTCTGACAGATGCTTTGGAACTCTAAAGCTCTCCGACTTTGGAACCACGCATTTCAGTGATGGACAACGAAACTCCATGCAGGACAATTACACCGTACCATATTCCAGATCCTATCAATCGCCGGAATGTCGACTGCCTGACGGACAAATTAGTAGTCAATGTGATGTCTGGGCAATGGGATGTGTGTTCCTGGAATTTGTATGCTGGTACGTTGGTGGGTATGAGCTTCTAAATAAGTTCGAACACGAACGTCTTCTTGCGGGCGGCCTTGAGGGATCATCATTCTTTTCCTTCAAGCCTGAAGATAATCCGCAAAGTGATGCGCTCAGACTCAAAGCGCCGGTTATCAAGGTGAGAAACCCTGAGTACCGACCGCAATCTTGGAAGTATGACTGACTGTCGTCCCTCAGATGATCGAGACTTTGCAAGAAAGCTTTCAAGTCGAGAGCGCGTTGAATAGGCCCTTGCGGGACGTTCTCCGTACTGTGAAGGACGACATGCTCGTGATTTCATACGATGGTGCTTACGGCGGGAATAGACTTCGCGGCACTGAACAACCTACCCCCCTAAATTTCCTCGGAGTACAACAGCCAACAAGGCACCGTCGGAGAAGCGCCGGTAATATTGCCCGTGAACTAGGGTCAGTCCCAGAATCTCCAAAAGAGAAGCTGTAGAAGTTTCACGATGATCTGAATGGGCAAGGTCCCGCTTTGTGGATCGGTTTTCCTCTAACATCATCATATGTTCAGTCTTGGGAGACTTCCATCCCATGCTGTCTAAACAGGACGATAGGCCTCACGAAAGATTGGAACCTTCTGTCAGCTATGGTTCCATCAAAGCCTCAAAACAGCCTTGCGAATCATGTTAGTGAGCACCCAATTGCCATATAAAAAGCTTAAAGGTAGATTGGCGGTTAGATGGTTGGCCACTAGCGAGTCTCCACTGTCGTATGTTCTACTTCCAAACTATCTGAACAAAGCCTTCTGATGGATGAGACAAATCAAGAAACTAGGATGCGATTGTGTTACGCATGAGTTTAGAATGAATTCAGGTCGTCTTGTTGTATCCATGCCAGCGTAATGGGCTTATGTCGTTGTATATACGAGATGGTGTTTCTGGCACATCGTCGTCATGGCACGAGGCGCTTCCTTTCTTCTTTGCCCGTTTATGTTACGACCTGACTATGCTTTAGAAGTGCGTCAAGTTGGAAAGCAACAGCAATGGCTCTTGGAAGTCCCGAGGCAATACCGAAACAGCTAAGTCATCGCCTGACTTTATTACGTGATATGTAAGGAGTGCATTTGACCTGAAAATCAAGCCACGATAATAACGATCATAAGTTAATAATTGTTTTATCCTTTGATCCTTCCACATACGACCATAGGACACTGAAAATTAGGCTTCCCGTCCGCTCAGCCATATACAAGCAGTGTACCGGCGGATTAGTAGTTAGGTGGGTGACCACTAGCGAATCCCCGCTGTTGTATGTTTTTG